CCTGAATAACCCTTTCTCTGCCTTAACTCTTCATCAGACTGCATAAGAATGGAGCATGAAGGAGAGAATTTATGGAAACATTTAATTTTTTCCAGTGCTCTTTTATCATTCACATTAATTGTGAATAAACAAACATAGCTATCATATTAACATCTGGGTTTTATTAAAATAATCAAGAATTGAAAGTTAATGTTAGTATAAACAGATTATTACTGTAAAAATGGCATCAGAAATATGGATCTTTCCCTTGGCCATAAAAACAAGATAACAGTTCTTACGATGACAGACACAACCCACATTTGAATGGACAAGTTTCCCTCATTTTAGAAAAAGTAATATGCCACATGATCTCAGAAATATAGAAAAAATGTGCATCTTCACATGATGTAAAGCATGACTATCTCCCACCACAACCCTTCTGATGCTTAGAGACCAGCAAATTGGGAGAGGCCTCAGCTGAGAGCCAGAGTAACATACAGAGACAGGTATCAGGGGGTAGCCGTGTTAGTCTGTATCCACAAAAACAACAAGGAGTCCGGTGGCACCTTAAAGACTAACATTTATTTGGGCATAAGCTTTCATGGGTGAGGTTTTTTACCTACAAAAGCTTATGCCCAAATAAATCTGTTAGTCTTTAAGGTGCCACCAGACTCCTTGTTGTTTATACAGAGACAGGGTGGATATCATTGCGCTTTGGGAAAAGGGTGTTGGGCTAAGACAGGAGGGGAGGAAAAAGTGAACTTTTCTCTTCCACAGACTGCAGCCACTGCTAGGGAATCTATCTGCAGCTTCTTCAACCTTCTACCTCATTGTCTACTTCTCCTCTCGCCCTAAAGCAGGTAACAGTAGGAGCAGCTCTCTTAAAAAGACAGCGCTCTGTCCTTGGTAACACCTAAGGGCTTGTCTACATTACCCACTGGATCGACGGGCAGTGATCGATTCAATGGGGGTTGATTTATCGCATCTAGTCTAGATGCGATAAATCGACTGCTGAGCGCTCTCCTGTTGACTCCAGTACTCCACCAGGGCAGAGTCGACGGGAAAGCATCAGCCATCGACTTCACTGCAGTAAGTAGATCTAAGTATGTCAACTTCAGCTACGCTATTCACTTAGCTGAAGTTGCGTAACTTAGATCGATCCCCCTCCCCAGTGTACACCAGGCCTAAGAATGGAAAGGAAGAGCAAGAGATGGAAACTACGTATTGAATGGGACTTTTAAAATTAGACTGGACAAAGTATTAGAAATTCTGTAGGAAATAATCTTGCAGTTTTTTTCCATCATTAATATCTCTGAATCCATTATTTATTGTGGCTATATAATATCAATTTCTCACATACAAGTAAACAGCCTTGCTATACTATGCTTTATAAGTGGACAGTAAATTTACAACAGTTACTGTAGATCAATTATCATGGAAAATGGCAGTAATCACAGATGCCATTGTGTGGTAACTTGTTGGAAAATTATGAATTTTAAATTTGGACCATTGTACTACAAGCACATAACTTTATACTCTACACATAACTTGAGATTTTAAACTAGAGATAAAATAAGAACCTACTACCCAAACCTTTGCCAAAATAAACCATATCAGAAATGAGGGTTTTTTAATATTTTAAAAAAAAAGATTTTTCTTTTTAGTACTATTTGTTACTGTTTCACACTTCTAAACCTTCTGGCTCTATCTAGGTGTGATAGTATTTCAGTATAAAAAAAGATGTCCCTAGCTGTGACAAAAGCTTCAACTTGTTCTTCCAAGAAGAACTGAAATACTGTAACTTTTGAGAAGTTATAAGAAATTCTTTTTACTTTTCCTGCTGGCAAAAGGCCAATTTTTTCTTTATAGGGGCTCTTCTTGTGCAAGGGACTCCAAGTTCTTCACATTTACAGCTTGTATTTCCAACTGATTGCTATCTAATGGGTAAGGTTCTCCACGTGGAACTGGCAAACTAGAGAAATTTTGGGAAGCTGCTGGTGGCATTGTGTGTCCCATCATGCTCTCTGCACCCTCTATGGCAAAAGGGTGCCCCTGTGGCAATAGGGTCCCCTGGCAGGAGTGCCACACATCTGCAGTGCTCTCAACCCTCACACCTGGGGATCACTCAACAGTAACTTGAGTAACAGTAATTTAAACTGAGACTCTCTATGGATCTGAAGAAAGGAATATGCTGAGGGTGAGTAGGGGACTATAATTCAGAGGGTGGACATGCTCTTCAGGCTCATCCCTGCACCGTCTACTGTTCCTAGGGGTTTTCATAGCCATATGCCCATATCCACAACTTTTTGCTCCCACCTATTCACACAAACAGAGTAAGAATTTGGCCTGAAGTTCCTTATGATCTTGCTATAGTCAAATTCATCAGCTATGCAATTTTCAATGAGATTAAAGCAAATCCAGTCAGTTTTTCAACAGTCTCAGTCAATGTCAGGGGAATCATCCTGAGACACTACAGGTCCAAGATCTCTGCATTTCTGTAACAAGTCTTCCTTTCCACCACTTCTAAGTCCACAGATATTACAGTGAAACTTCAAATGGCCCATCTGATCAGTGCATACTACCCTGCGCTTGTTCAGAACTGAGTCACTGTAACATTCTCTATAATACCTTGTCTTTGAATGCTGAGGTGATAAACTGTCATGCTTATATGTGAATGCTATTGTTTCTTTACATACACCACACCTTGTTATACCCCTTATTGGAAACTTAAGAGTGGCATATAGCAGTCCATTATTTTGCTGTAGTACGTTTGAACCATTGCCTGAACACTGTCCATAGTCATCTTAAAGGGATTCAAAGCTGACAGAACTGCCCAATAACATCAGTAATGAGTGATGTCCTTGATATACAGGTCATCCAGAATATGGTTTGGAATTTAGACCAGCGCTCCAGTGTCAACAAATTGTAGTTAACAATTACTCCTTCTGAAGGAAAGGGATAAAATTTAATATTATTCAACAGCAGGTAGAAATATATGTATCAATGCCAATATTTTGTATTTCACTTTCTGTGACATAAGCTCTATACATTCCTTCTGAATGTTTTACCCAGCATAATTGTCTGAAATCTCATAATAACTAGTGCATTTCTGGTGCTCTTAAATTACAAGGTCATGTGTGAAGTTCGATGAACTAGGTGAAGAAAGTTGCCAAGCTTGTTTTGCTGCAATAATTTAACCAGGGAAGCATAAAAAAAAAAAGAGGTTTCATTCGGCAAAACTGAACCATTGCAAAGAGTCTTGCCAAACACTTTAGAATATGGCTTCATATAACAGTCATTTTTGGTTCTCTTTGACAATACTGTGATCTGAGCATAGCCAGTTTTCCAACTCCAACCACTTACATGCATTTTCTGTGGCTTGGGAAGCATTCATGCTGGCTGAGAACTTGTGTCATATTATTCCAGTCTTTCATTCCTGAATAAGTAAGGTTTATTTTAACATTTGAAAACAATCTGTAACAGAAGCAGAACGGCGAATCGGCTATGACAGAGTAAATTCAATATTTTCTGTAAATTTGGTTCCCATTACAAAGAATCTGCTTACAATTCTTTAGTGTACACTAATTTGTCTATTATCACTACCCTTATTATTCTTACTATTATTCTTACTAGCCCTACCCCAACCAAAGCATACTGAACTTTATCCTCAAACATCTCAGGACAATTAATGGGAATGGAAAACATTTTTTTCACATATTGATTTATAAGGTGAGAACAATCTCCTAGAGTTGAAAGTTCAGCAACAAAATCTCATGCATAATTCTGCAGTTGTCCCAATTCTTAATCTGCACCTACATATGAGGCAGAATGCTAATCAGACTCTGAAACGGAACATTCTTCCTTCACAAATAATAGAATAGAACCCTGTATCTTCAATTTGTTAGTATTAATCAACACATTTTAATGGAGTTGAGTACTGGATAGATACAGAATCCTGTAGTGGTTTTTTTTTCCCAGGGTTAGTAGTTAATGCTTTTTGTACAGGTAGATTTCCCTTAAAGCTCTCGCTTTGACTATCCCTACACATATTTTTTCTTTTCAGTGGTATATCCCAAAGTGGGAAAGTGTCTCAGGCTGATTTGCCCAAGTTCACAGTAAAAATCTTTCTATTTTCATTCTACGTTTATGTTGTTGCCTCTCTCCCCACATGTATCCCTAGACCCTTTTATTGTTGAATACTTGCCCAGAGGCTCAGACATTTAGAGAGCAGATTTACTGATTCCTTCCAGCTCCCAAACCCACACCAAATTTAGGTAGGAGTTTTGCAGTTCGTATTTCAGTAACGAAGGCAGAGGAAGCAAAATGGTCAGAGTCAGGAGTGGCCTACTGGGTGAAGTGGGATTATAGTTAAAGATGCAGTGGTCTTTGTCATTCTATTTGGAACCAAAATAAAGAGAATGGGCCAGCGGTTCTTTGCGATTACTACTGTAATAAGTTAGAGAGATATTAGCAGCAAGTACTATGGAGTCCACTAAACTTTTTGATGGGAGTGCGATGTGTCATTTTAAGTTATGCTAGTTTCAAAATTATCCTCCTTGGATATGTAGAGGGCTGCTATGGTGGCCAGGGAGGAAATTCTTTATATCATGCAGGTGTAATGAAACACAGCCAGGTTTAACTCCATCTACAACAGGCTTGCAAGTATTGCATAATGCCAGAGAAAAATTCCAAGAATGGGATGTGGAGAAAGGAAGTTTATATAGTCAGATTAGGGTGACCAGATGTCTCGATTTTTAGGGACAGTCCTGATATTTGGGGCTTTGTCTTATATAGGCGCCTATTACCCCTGCCCCCGATTTTTCACACTTGCTATCTGGTCACCCTAAGTCAGATATAAACGTAACAAAAGCATTATAGTTATTTCATTCAAAACAAATAATCACTATCATAGCATTAATGCAGCCCTTTTTGATCCCTGACCTAACATGACTAAATTCAATGAGAATATCTCATTCTATAACATTTTGTAAAATTCCATAAGAAACTAAGAACAGACTTACCCAATTGTTGAAAAAGAAGAGCCACACTGGTACTGGTAACAGGAAGGCTATCATGTAAAGGGGTTTGTATCAGCTGTCTGTCTCCTGCTCCCAATGAAAACAATTTCTGTAGATAGAGATATTTCAATATATACTTTAATCTCTTTTGTACATATTTTACATATTTACTATACATATTTAATCTCTTATTCACACCAAGCACACAGTGTAAAATGTTATATTGTTATTTACATATTTCAATCTCGAAGACATTATTATTTCTATTACATACTGAAGTTTAAAACTATGTTGGAAATCAGTGTCCTCTGCACAGGTTAGCAGTGACTTTAATGGGACAGCAGTTACATCAGAAACATCTCCAGAAGAAATACTACTCAACAATACTAGGATCTGACCAGCATTAATCTCTTCATTTAAGAATGATGATGATTATTAGCAAATATAACTAACTGTATCCCCGGATGTAATTCTTTCAGCATTATTTAAACTAAAAAAAATCCTTACATTTTTCATGTTAATACACTTCATTTTATTAAAAATAGTTTTGGTACATCATTTAACAAAAAGATGCCTGGAAAAGATGGAAAAGTAAAATAAGGACAATGGAATGACAGTTTGAATGTGACAACTTCCTCCCTTAAGAAACACCTGAATTGAACTGTTCGAATAGTTATCAATTGGTTTCCATGAAGATATGCAACACCATGAAAAACATTAGAAAACTGCAAAGAACAGAGTAAAAATTGTTAAAAAAAGCACTGACAACAGAATAAGATGTTTGGTTAATAACAAAGAAGTGAAATAACTTTAAGACTGGGATTACCAGGTCATGAAGTTTGTGGAAGTTATAAAATAAGGAAGGCTATAATAGCAGACTACTTTATCATCATCTGTTACAGAAACTGTTTAAGGTCTGCTACCAAATATTTTATTTATGAGTGTGTTTTAAAACTGTGATTAATTTTCTTCAGTAGCTTAAATAAGAAAAAAAAATAGAAAAAGATGACCTTGCTAATCTTAATGACTATTAATCACAGTGAGTAATTCTTCTTTCATATCATTCATACTATTCATCTTCTCTGCAATTTTGATACAACCACTGTACAACAAAAATTGGTGCCACAATATGGCATAGCTTATGCCCAACATCCTTCCTACAGAAAAAAATCAGTCATGAGTGTCATTCAAAGTTCAACTGCTACAGCAATGCTTACACCTGAACTTCTGAAATGTTAGCTTTAGTCAGAAGTCATAATAAAAGACCTTACAATATCAAGCTGTTTATATCAGACCCCAGATAAAATACATCTGAAATACATTATCTGCTGTTCTGTTAATATTTGTAACAATTATTCTGTTGGTATGCAAAGTAATTTATTGCTGGAATTCTGCCTATTTTTCGGTCTACAATATTTAAAGCCTAGAAAAATAAATATGGCAAAGTGGAGTAAAGACATAATTCTGTCCTCAAAAGCTTAGCACAGCTTTCACTTACTGGTAGCTTTCATTTTCCTAACTAAAGACAGACTGCATTCATAACATATCACCAGCTCTCATACAAAATTATTATGTTAACCTAGTTGGCTTTTTAATTTACAGCTGAGGTGCAATGCTACTTTGTTAAATCTAATAATACAAGAGTTAAAATCTGTTGTACAGCTAAGTCCACTTTTCTAGAGACTTCAATAGCCCTACAATAAAGTTTAGTGAGACTCTGTAGAAAGTGGGAAAGATATTTGATTTTCTTCAAAGCAAACTGGTGGAGAGTCAACCATATACACCTGAATTCTCCTTGTTTTGTACTTGTGTTTAAAAATATTAGAGAACTCTACAGTAAATCCAAAAGTCTGGCTGAACCATATTATTGTACATAAAATCAAGAGGAGAATTCCTGTGATGGATAATTTCCTGAGACTTCACAATGTGAACCTAATTATATTTCCGCTGGTTTCTAATTTGATATTTTTACTTCAAAGAGATTGTCCTTTTACCTATCTGAAGAAGAGAAAAAAATGGTTACTTACCTATTCTGTAACTGTTCTTCTAAGTGTGGTTCACATGTGTATTCCATTCAGGTGTGTGTGCACGCTCCTGTGACCTGGAGCCAGAGGGTTTCCATAGCAGTACCTGTCAGGGCGTCACATGCGCTGCACACTTCCTCGTAGCCCCTTATAAGGCTATTTAAGGGCTGCACCACCTCAGCCTTCCAGAGTTCTTTTGTACCAGAATATATGGCTCAAGACTCCAGTGCAGTGGGGACAGAAAGGGAGTCAAGGAATACACGTATAAACTACATCTTGAAGAACAGTTACAGAACAGGTTTTTCTTCTTCACATCTGTATTCCACTCAGGTGACTCCCAAGCAGTTCAGGTAGGAGGTGAGGCATGAAGTCTATTTGAATAGCAACTGCAAGATTGTTTTTCCAAAGTTTGCATCAGATCTGGAAGCAGTTGTGATAGCATGATGCTGAGTAAAGGCCCACGCAACAGCATTTATGTCCAGAATAGATATGTCTTGTAAGATGGCCACAGAGATAGCTTGTGCTCTTGTGGTATGAGCAAGGAGTCTTTCTAGTGTGGGAAAGGTTTGCTGCCCTGTAGGCTGTTGTAATGCATGCTGTAATCCATCTAGAGATAGTCTGCGCTGAAACTGCCTGACCTTTCATTCTATCATAATAAGAAACAAAAAGGCAAGGAGAGATGCTTGAAATGGCTTCATTCTATCTAAATAGAATGTCAGTGCTCTTCGCACATCTAATGTATGAAGACACTGTTCATCCTTGCTGGAGTGCGGCTTCTAAAAAGATACAGATAAGTATATCATTTGTTCTAGATGAAAGTCATAAAACAACTTTGGTCAAAAACTTTGGATGTGGTCTTAAGGTCACCTTATCGTTAAAGAACTCTGTAAATGGAGGGCCCGCCATCCAGTAATGAAATTCTCCCACTTTTCTGGCTCACACTGTTGCAATGAAAAAAGCTATTTTCTGAGGAAGTTGAGCTAGAGAGCAATTAGCTAGCGGCTCAGATGGGGGGCCCATAAGAGCTGCTACCAGTAGCACTGTATTTAAGCCCCACATAGTAATGGCATTATTTGTAGGGGGATAGAGAGGAATAACACATTTTAAAAATCTGCCCAACATTGGATTAAAGAATACTGACTGTAAGTGAGCAGCCACTGGTGTGATGCAAAAGTATCACAGGTTCATCACCTCTCGACAGAGTTGGTTGAGCCACGTTCTCCCTTGCCTGTTCACATAATATATCACAAACATATTGTCTGTGAGAATCTGAACTGAAAGGCCTCTGATATGGGAAAAGAATAACCAATGACATTGAAAATTTCATAGATTCATAGATTCTAGGACTGGAAGGGACCTCGAGAGGTCATCGAGTCCAGTCCCCTGCCCGCATGGCAGGACCAAATACTGTCTAGACCATCCCTGATAGACATTTAGACATTTATCTAACCTTTCTTCGAGCTTGTGCATGTTGATATGCAGCGACACCTCTTGCTCAGTCCATACCTCCTGGGCTCACAAAGACCCTAAATGTGTCCCCCAAACCTGATTTCAAAGCATCTGTAACTATGGTCATTATTGGAGGTAGATGAGCAAAGGGGAACACCTCTGCATACATTGTTCTGACCCATCCACCAATCCAGGGACCTCAGTATCCTTGGGAGAACTCTGGCCCATCTATTCAATGGGTGGAAATTTGGTCGCTGGATAGACTTTACCCTACCTTGAAGAGTGTGAAGGCATAGCTTTGCATACAGGAGTACATAAGTGGCCCAAGAGTCTCAAACATATCTGAATCATAGTTGTGGGGTGGGCTTTGAGGGACAAGCAGATTTGGCAAATTACTTGAAATCTCTGCAGGGAGAAAGGCCATCAATTTTGTAGAATTGAGTAGGGTCCAGTGAACATTATTCATGTGTTGGAAGTACCATGGATTTTTCTCTGTTCATCCTGAGGCTGAGACAATCAAAAAGACAAGTGACATGGACACGATGGAGAACTTGGCTTTCAGATCTGCCCTGAACTAACTATTCTTCCAGGTAAAGGGAAGATATGAATCCCTTTTCTCCTCAAATGGGTGGTCACTACTGCCATGAACTTGGAAAATATGCAAGGGGCTGACAACAGTCCACAGGGAAGCACCGTTTACGGATAATGATGACCACCATCAACAAATATCAGGATCTTCCTGTGGATTGGTAGCACTGCCACATGAAAGTAGGTGTCATGAAGATTGAGGTCAGCATACTAGTCGTTGCGATCTCGTGAGGGAAGGAGTTATCCCAGGGAAACCATGCAGAACTTCACATACCAAATAAACTTGTTGAGATTACAAAGGTCCAGAATGGGTCTCCAACCCCCTTTTCCATTGGGGTAAAACCTCTTGCCACTATGTTGTAGGGGAACTACCTCTATGGGCCCTGATGCAAGAAGAGTCTCAACTTCTTAGAGGAGCAGAGAGTTGTGAGATTGGTCCCTGAAAAAATATGGGGGATAGATATCAATTGGACAGAATATCCCAGAGTCACCATGTTTAGCACCCCTTTGTCGGTGGTTATAGTGTTCCAAGCACTAAGAAAGCAGGACAATCTGTCCCCATATGAAGGGGACATGACTGGTAGATCATTCAAAACTGGATTGCTGTCCTCGAGGGAGATGTCAAATAGGCTGTTTCCCTAGCAACAAATGACAATGAGAAGGTTAGTTGGACCTCAAACCAGAAAGCCTCCTCCTCTGAGAAGTCATATTGTCTAGAAGGGTAAGTGGGTTGCCTGTAGAATAGCTGTCTGTACTGCTGTTGTTGCTGTGGTATTTACCGTCATGTTTCAGTGACTGGAGCATAGATTCCTAACACAGCACTGGCAGTCTTTTAATAACGGCGGGGTGTCAGTCTTATGGGAAAAGACCAGTGGTGCAAGTAGAATCCATTTCTTACCGGTATTGGGCGGGGCACTGGGGGGATGTGACCTCCTCACGTGACCCCTCCCTACCCACCCCCAGCCTGGGGCCCCCACGCTCTCCCCATCCCCTCCCCATGATCCACTCCCCTTACCTGGGGGGGGGGGCCCTCTGTCCTCCTCTCACT